TTGTTTGTAAATAAATATTTACACCCTGGTTCCAAACATAAACATATTAAATATTTATAAACTTTGATGATTTGTTTGTAAATAAATATTTACACCCTGGTTCCAAACATAAACATATTAAATATTTATAAACTTTGATGATTTGTTTGTAAATAAATATTTACACCCTGGTTCCAAACAAACATTTATTAATAAATCTGTTCTTTAATTTTCTTCAGGTCTGAAACACGTCAGCGATGACCAGAAGACCCACAAGAACCCGGGTCTCAAGGGTCAGGGGGCTCCGGTTCGGAGCGGACCCAAACCGTTCGCCTCCGCCCCCCGACCCGCTGCAGCCGCCCCCCCGACCCGCAAGCTTCCACCAGTTCTGGAGCTGGAAGGAAAGAAGTGGAGAGTGGTGAGTTGATGGTTCTGTCTGGTTTACCCTCTGTCTCTTTGGTTCTCTAACATTCTGGTTCTGGTCTGCAGGAGAACCAGGAGGGGGCCCAGGATCTGGTGATCAGGGACACGGAGCTCAAGCAGGTGGTCTACGCCTTCAAGTGCAGCCAGAGCACCCTGCAGGTCCACGGCAAGATCAACTCCATCACCATCGGTAAGATGCACCGTACACCGGTCCAAAAGAACCAACCGGGCTTTAGACCAGTCCAACAGGTCCCTCTTGCAAATGAGTCCCTGTGGCTCAAAGACTGGCCTGTAGAAATACAGGTTGAATGGAAACTGAACCGATGCTCTAACCCTGCTTCACGTCTCCGACAGACAGCTGTAAGAAAATGGGTCTGGTGTTTGACGACGTGGTCGGCATCGTGGACGTGATCAACTGCAAGGACGTGAAGATTCAGGTGCAGACACCAAGAAGACACGACGACACAGCTCAGCTTATTTCTAAAGCTCCAAGTCACAACAGAATCATCTCAGGGACTGAACAGAAACATTCATCTATAAAATAATAACTGAACAGAAACATTCATGTATAAAATAATAATTGAACAGAAACATTCATGTATAAAATAATAA